ATCCTCTTTAATCATTTGACCTACAAACCCAATTTCAATTCCATAATATCTTGCAAATCCTTTGGGACGATCCCTTTTCATTCATACTACATAATATAGTGTTAAGTGGTTTTTATAAATTCTAAATGTGGTGGTCACTTCTCACACTCACACTTTTTACATCATTTTGAGGACACGGTCCTGGACACACCGTGTTCATAGTTGGAAAAGAGTTAATGATGGATCTAGGTGTGCTTTTTTGCAACATGTGGGAGGTCCTAATTCATCACACTTGGGTGCTGTAAGAGCTTCAAATGCTTTAATGAATCCTTTGCAAGATATTGACAGAGTGTTGAATGTATCATCTAGAGATGTGGTGGAAAAGAATCGATTATGCCTCAAGACAACAATTGAAAGTATTTGGTGGCTTGCATTCTAAACATGTGCATTTAGAGGTTACAATGAATCCGTTAAATCTTTGAATTGTGGCAACTTTATTGAATTCATGAAGCATTCAACAAAGCTAAATGACATAGTTGCTTAAGTTGTCTTAGAGAATGCACAAAAAAATGTAAGGTACCTCTCGCCAATGATTCAAGAAGAAGTTTTACATATTATTGGCAATAGGGTGAGACGTAAGATTCGTGAAGAAGTTAGGGATGGAAAATTTTGTATTTTGGTTAATGAGGCACAAGATTTGTCTAATATAGAGCAAATGGCCATTGTCTTGAGATTTATTGAAAAGAATGACTTCCTTAGAGAACGATTTTTAGAAGTTGTAGGCGTTTAAGACACCACTGCTTTAACTTTTAAAAAAGAAATATTAGATGTCCTTACTCTTTGTTCCTCTTCTGTCCATAAGCAGGAGGTTATGAAATTGTCAATTTAATAACAACACAAAATTAAAGCTCAAGTTAGACACCAATTTATAAGAGGTTAATTTTGTACAAAAGAAATTTTTGCTTCCAACTCTGTGGGATATATTGAAGGGCTTTTTGTTTATATATTCACGTGTAATCAATCAATTCCAGTCCAATTAGAGATCAAGTTTCAAATTCTTATTTAAGCTTATTCCTGATGCTAAACAAGGAGTCAATAGTAGTATTCCAATAAATGGAACGAAGAATGCATCATTCAGTTATGGTAAAAAGATTTTTTTTTGTTGAAGATTTTGGAAATGGAATCCCACCAATTCAATTTCAAATTCACCCTAATTTACCTTCAGGGTCGGTTGTACGGAATTAGAGTCTTAGAATTAAAGAAAATTTTGGTTTAATTTTTGTAATTTTTTTTTTTTTTTTCGTAATTGGTACTCACACACACGTCTCTACTGAGACTTGAATCACTGACATCCCTTTGGGAAGTAGGAGCTTAGTACTGCTAGGCCACTAGCGTGTTGGGTTTTTTAAATTTTATTTATCAAATTTCACCAATTCTAATTCCTAAACTCCAATTACATGCAACCGAACACACCATTAAGATATAAATTCGCAAAGAGCATAATTTATATCTTTCATCTTTAAGACTAAGGGTATTATTAGGGTTAGATCTCACTCTTCACATTCGCAAGTTCTTTGTCAACGCGAACTCCAAACTATGTGAACGGGAAAATGCTATTATATGCACGTGTGTATCGGCGAAAACATATTGCTACGGAATTTTGAGAGGTAAATAACTCATCAGGAACATGCGTAGATGTTAATGTCACGTCACCGTTAGAACAACAAAAAGTTAGGTTCATATTCAAATTTTTTTGCACAAGAGTACTGGCAACTTGGAACCTTCTTCAACTCGTAAAGTGTTGGCCAACTTGATTGTACTACATCCCATTCTCTTCTTATTTTCGCTGTATTCTGCACTTGTCTAATTCTCTTATCTATTTGTTCTTGCGTCAAATTCGCATATCTATTTTTTGGTATTCATTCAATTGTTCGCGCCTATTATTAGATGTCATTGATATTAATGGAACAACATTGTGTGTTTAATTGAAAGTTTGCATTAAATTTTGTATTGCACGAACAATAATATTATTTGTGTGCAATGTCTAACATTTAATTTTTTATTCGACCAACAATAATATTATTTGTATGCTACATCTAACATTAGGGAGACTTAAATTTATAATTCAACAATGTTATCTAAATTGAGATTTTACAAGTCATCATTATCTACCATATAAGAATAACAATTTTATTTCAAAACATAAATATTAAAAACTGCATTCAACAATTTGTTATTAGTAAGCAAAATAAGCTACCATGGAGTGAAAAAATCCAAGTTGGATTATACTTATATTTTTTAGTATATCTTTGTAAATTATTTATTTAATTTATTTGTCTAATGTTTAATGTTTAGATTAGCGAGTCACATTAACTATATATAAATCTTAACTTAACTCTGTAATTTTTGACAATATTTTGTATTTTTTTTTTGTGTTTTCTTCAATTTTTTATTTTTTATTTTTTATTTTTAAGTTCAAAAATATATATCATAACTTAGTCAGTTCAATATTTGTGGGATCCGATCAATTCAAGCCTATTGTTAGATGACATTGATATTAATTGAACAATCTACCTTCAACAATAAAATATTTGTATCATTGTGTGTTTAATTGAAAGCATGCATTAAAATGTTGAGAAGCAGGGATTGTACTTCATTGGTGGATAAGGTTATTGCTATCACCACTAGATGGAATGGTATGCACATTTCTATGTCTCGAAGGGTGGAGTTGAGTAGGGCTGTTATTATTCCTATGGTGCAGTATTGGGTTTCGGTTTATACTCTGCCTGCCTTTGTCATTAATTTGATGGAGAGATGAATGGGAAATTTTATCTGGAGTCATGTTGAAGATAGAAAGAAGTTGCATGGGTTGAGGTGGAAGAAACTGGCTGTTCCTAAAGAGGAATGAGGTCTGGGTTTGAGACGTCTTGTGGACATTGAAAAGGCTTCTAAATGTAGTCTAGCATGGGATTTCTTACTCTTTAAAGACAGAATTTGGGTTGCATGGTATCAACAGGTTTACTTGAAGAAGACTTCCTTTTGGAATGTGATCACAAAAGATTCATATTCTTCTATATGGAAAAACATAGTTGCTGTTAGAGATATTATGAAAGAAAATTGCAGGTTCAGGATTGGCAATGGTCAGAGTATTAAAATGTTTTTGGATCCTTGGTGTGACAGAAAGGTTTTGGGGGAGTTATTTAATCACAGGTTGTTGGGTTAATTAAGCAGAAATAAGAAGATTTATTTGAATGAATTTATTATTAATGGTCTCTGGAATGATGATCTTTTGATGAACACAACTCAGGAGGTAATGCAGGTTTTTCATACTCAAAAGATATATGGGGGTGAGGATTATATCCGATGGAAGAATAATTTCAGTTTTAAGTGAGCTTGGGAGGTATGTAGAGAAAAAATTTAACCAGTTTGCTTGTCTGGGCTGTGTTGGAGTGGGGGGAGACTGAGATGGTCTACTCATGCAGTTTTAGTTCTACAGAAAGCTATTCTTACACATTCTTGGTTGCAAAGGAGAGGGTTTAATCTTGCTTCTACATGTTATTTGTGTTATAGAAATACAGAAACATTAGATCATCTATTCTGTGGTTGTGATTTTACATGGCAAGTTTGGGCATATATTTCTTCTATTTTTGAATGGAATTTACAAAGGCTCAATGATATTCAGAACCTTATGATGGTGTTTATCCAAAAATTCCAAGGGAAGGGCAGTAAAATGGCAAAGATTTTATTTACTGCCGTTTTATATCATATTTGGTTGGAAAGAAATGAAAGACTTCATAATGATAGGTGTAGAGAGCAAAGGGAAATTGTTAAGTGTATTGTTTGGGCTGTTCTTGATGTTATGGGGGTTAGACTTCAAGATATTTTGTAACTATCTCTATGTTTTATTTGTTTGTTGATTCTCATGCTAGGGAGACTTTTGTGTTGTAAGTGAGGGTATGTTCTTACTTTTTCTCTTTGTACAGTATTGTTTATATATATATATATAAAATCCTTCATTTAGGAATATATATATATATATATATATATATATATATATATATATTATTTGTGTGCTATATCTAACATTTAATTTTTTTATTCGACCAACATTAATATTATTTGTATGCCACATCTAACATTAGGGAGACTTAAATTTATATTTTAACTATGTTATCTAAAAATTGAGATTTTACAAGTCACTATCATATATAATATAGAAATAGCAATTTTATATGGAAATATAAATATTAAAAATTGTAGTCAACAATTTGTTATTAGTAAGCAAAATAAGCTAACATGGAGTGAAAAAATCTAAGTTGGATTATGCTTATATTTTTTAGTATGTCTTTATAAATTATTTATTTAATTTATTTGCCTAATATTTAATGTTTAGATTAGAAAGTCAAATTACTTATATATAAATCTTAACTTAACTCTTTAATTTTTTTTTAACAATATATATATATATATATATATATATATATATATATTTTTTTTTTTACAGTTTGAAAATACATATACCTTCAACTTTTGTGGGATCCGTTCAAGAAAATTATTTATAATGGAAACACTTGGACGGATAATGTGAAGGATCATTAAAGGTTAGGATCATTAATTATCCTATTTCTTTGCTCTCGCGTCAAATTCATATATCCATTTTTTGGGTATTAATTCAATTGTTCACGCCCATTTTTATATGTCATTGATATTAACAGAACAATATGCCTTAAAAAATAAAATATTTGTATCATTGTGTGTTTAATTAATTAAAACTATAACTTGAAATCTTTATTCGACCAACCATAATATTATTTACATGTTACATCTAGTATTAGGAGAGTTAAATTCATAATTCAACCACCTTATTTAAATTGAGATTTTACAAAATATCTCATCTAAGAATAACATTTTTGTATTGAAACATAAACATTAAAAACTTAAATCAATAATATGCTCTTAGTAAGTAAAATAAGTTAATTTGGATTAGGCTTATATTTTTAGTATGTCGTTGTAAATTATTTATTTACTCTTTTTTTTCTTCTTTTTTTCTTTTTATTTTTTATTTTTTATTTTTTTTTCTAAAGTATAATGTTTAGATTAGAAGGTCCAGTTTTAACTTAACTCTTACGCCTCGCATCACAACGGTAACAAAATGCAAGTTCAAATGAGACGAGTCGCTAACAGATAGTGAATCAGACGAGTCGCTAACTCTTATCTCTTTGTTCGATTTCTCTCTCTTCTTCTTGGCGAACTTCAAGGACGACAATTAAGGGAATAGCGATCCAAACCCCATAAACAAATAAACCCAGCCCAGTGAAATTACCAAACACGGCTAACAAAACAAACCCTAGTAATTGAACTATTTGCGTACAAATAAAGCCAACAAGAAAGGTACCCAATTGTCAACAAGAAAGCTCCTGAGGATATTTTTGTCTTCTCGCCTAAGAAAACCCCACACACGACCACGCGACCTTCCTCTCTCTCACCTTCACAGTACGCGCCGAGTAACCGACAACGAACCGACTTCTCAGAAATCAACCACGGATCCATCATCTTTTTCAAATTCGGTAAGATTTATTTCAATTTTTAGGTTTTGTTAATGTTCTTCGGTTGGTATTTCAGATGTCTTTTGGGATACTGTTGATTGTGCTTTACATGTTTTGGGGTATTCAACGTCTTGGGCTTTTTTCGAATTTCTTCTCAAATTGCAACGAACTCATTATTTTTGTAACTTTTCTTGGCCAATATTTTTGTTCGATCGTGCTTGTGTTTTTATTTGATAAAGGTGTCTTTGTTGACGAAAATTCTATTGTTTTTGTTCCTGCTTGTGTTTTTAGTTTATGTGGTTTGGTCGCTATGTTGTTTTTCTGTAATGCTTTTTTTTTTTAATTCAAGATTTTAGTTAATTTTTGTATGTTTATCTGCTGTATATCTATTCTCCCTTTATATCTATATCGACTCCCTTCAAATTATTTCTTGGTTTGAGTTATTTGTGGTACTATTATTTGATTATTTGTTTTTTGGGTTTTTTTGTTTTTAATTTTTTGTCACATTGTCTGTATATTTATTATGTCTGTATATAATTAATTACGTAAACATGAAGTCATTATACCTTTCACTTTCATATTGTGGTAGCCCAGCATAAATTAATTTTGACATTATTACAAACGCATAATTACCTCTTTAAAACTTTAGGTGTGATTCATGTAAGTTTAAATGATTGATCAGTATTAGTTTAAATGGTATTGCAGTTTGATTAATTGTTTTGAATGATGAAAATAAAATAGGGGGAAGTGCGAATTTAGAGACTTTTGGGGAGGGGTTCTCGAATCAATAGGATTCAAACTTATTACATGGGACATGTTCTAGGAAAAAGTAAAAACACAAATGGGAATGTAACGAAGAACAAGGGTCTAGAGATTAACTTAATACAGTCTTTTTCGACGTCTCAGGGTCGTGAATCTTGTCTTGCTATTCCGCTCTAACGCCAACTCTCAATATGGATACGCTACTCTTCTTTATTGGTGCAATTGTTGGTTATATAAAAGTATTCTGACTACCACAATTTTCTTGTGAATGACCATGTATCCTTCAAATTCTCTGTCCTTGTATAGAATTCTCAAAGTGCACATGATTGGTTTTTAAAGTAACATTCGAGTAATGTAACATGGCTTTAATCTCTATACACTACTCACTGTGCACAAAATTTCATGGTTATCTTGTATTGAACAACCATATTGTGGTGTTGTAGCTGCATTTGTCACTGCAAAAATTGACATGTTTAGCAGTCAGTGTAACTTTGGAATTTGGGCATAATATGAGCTCCTTCTAGTAGATATGTCATATGATGCTGTAGCCTCGCCTGTTAAGTAATTATTCAGCCTTTGATCTTGGTTTTCAGAATGAATAAACTTGTATAAACAAGAAGATGGACATAAAAGCATACCATTCGGTGAAGTTCAGTGGCCAGATACCAAACAGATATATCAAGGAAAACATAGTTCGGCGGGAAATATGTGATGCCTGGCAAGTACCTTGCTTTCCAGCTTCCTCATATTCACCCATAAGGAGGACCATCAATGCTTGTGAACCAAATAATGGTCTTAAAAGGTCTTTGTCTGATGGAGATCTTAGTGACACCAACTCTGTCATTACAGAAGATTTTCTGCCTCCTTCAAAATATCTGAAGACGGAAGATTCCTTTGAAAGTGGAGTTTATCATGCAGTTGATCCTGCAAAGAAGTCAGAGGAACCAAATATACCCATTGTGCCCTTTGCTGATTTTTTCACCGCAGAGCAAATAAAGGAGCATATCTCCAGTCTTAGGCAGTGGAATAATCAGGTTTGTAGATCAATTTTGAATTGCTGTTATTGGGTTATTTACTTTCACTTTATGACTTCTGATTATATACTCATCAAAATGGGTTGTTGACATAAAAAGATTATAGATGTTATATACTCTTTAGTTTAAGTTGTTAGGGAGAGTGTAACTTAAGTATTTGTATACTTTGAAATTTATTTAGCTTGAGATGAAGTTATAGCACTTTCATAAGTTTGCTTCATTCTGCATTGGAAACAAAATAGATTATTTTGGTTCATTGGCCAATCAGCCATCTTAGTTTTATTGGGGGACTTCGTGTTCTTCAACGTGAAGTTCCTATATCAGGGTTTTTTTTTTTCATCATGCAAATGAAATTAGAAAGTGTGGATATTTGACTGAAAACTTATTTAAATTGCTCCTGTTAACTGAAGTGAAATTTTCTTAAAACTTTGACTTATTTGATCGATTTCTTGCAAAATAGGCTTACGTATTGGAGTGTATACTGCAGAGATTTTTTATACAACCAACAATTTTGTGCCATTAATGCTCTCTCTCTCTCTTATATATATAGAGAGAGATATATCTTTTGTTCTAACGATGCATGTAATATTGACTTGCCTAAACATGATCTGATGTAAATGACTATTATTGCGATGCATTCCATTTGAAACAGAGTATCATGAAGGAAGCATCAGAAAATACAATCGCACATTCTGTTGGTGAAGGCTCGTGCCAGTTGTGTGCCATGGGAAAACTTGTGTTCGCTCCGGCACCCAAGTATTGCTCAACTTGCGGAACTCGTATAAAACCCAGTTTGTTTTATTATCACGGGCTGGATGAAAAGGGTGCACATCATTGCATTTGTCCCTCATGCTTTAGGGCGTCTCGTGGTGCTACCATCTCATTCCAAGGGGTTTCCATTTCCAAAGCAAATCTGTACAAGGCTTGTAATAATGAGAAAAATGAAGAATCGGTAAGCTCGTCATTTTGTCCTCAGATAAATCTATTCTATAAATTGTAAAAATTTCAGTTTTCTGACTCTTATCCTACTGCAGTGGGTTCAATGTAATAAATGTGAACAATGGCAACACCAGATATGTGGTCTCTACAATAAGAAACAAGATTCGGAAGGAAAAGCAGAGTACATTTGTCTAAAATGCTGTTTAGAAGAAATAGAAATTGGACAGCAGAAGCCTTTATCAAAGACTGCAGCATTTGGAGCAAAAAATCTGCGAAAGACTAGGCTTGGTGATCACATTGAACAAAGGCTCTTTAGGCGTCTCAAGCAAGAGAGAGAAGAGAGGGCAAAGGCTTTAGGAAAGAACTTTGATGAGGTAAGAAGCAAACACTGTTTAATGAGTTGAAATTTTAAATGGCTTTAATCATCAAAACATATTTAATTAAAATTATATATTTAGACAAAAGAAAATTAATAATAATCCAGTTGGTGATGAATATATATTACTCAAATACTGCTGATTGATGCATAAAACTCTAGACTGAAGGATATAAAACATAAATTGTTGAAGTAGGGTCAGATTACACCTGGTCTAAAACAATTTCGTTTTACATCATATTTGTCCAAGCGCACCATTGGATCGCATACTCTTCCCATGCTTGCCATGCATAACCATTTGGCTGGTTGGAGTCTCAGAGTTTTTACATTTAGAAAAATTTCAAATAGTGTTTATTTATTTTAGTTAAGAATGAGATGGCTAAAGAAATGAGATCACATGTTATTCATGATGGAGGCACCCAATTTAATGATAGGCCTGGACAAATTACGAATCCTGCATAAAGTTGAGTGGAGTAAAAATTGTTATATTCTTCTACAGGTGGAACTTGATCATGCCTTCTGTAACTAATATTACATGGGATTCAACACATTTGACAATCACCATATAATATGCATTTTTATGTCAAGCAATACACTTATATTTAAAGGTACTTATTTCTGTAATTGCATGCTACTTATCCACTTTCTTGGGTTCTTTGTATTCAACATTTTTGGTCTTTTATTGTATATGAGTAGCTCATACCATGTATGCTGCTTCTTTTCTCTTCCTTTTTGGTCTTAATAAGAGAATATTGAAATCTACTTCAGCTGCTTGATATTTCATGTATAATTTTTGACCTGTTATTAGGTACCTGAAGCAGCTGATCTCGTTGTCAGAGTGGTGTTATCTGTCAAAAAACAATTGAAAGTGAAACAGCAATTTTTAGATATCTTCCAAGACGAGAAGTATCCTGCAGAATTCCCATACAGATCAAAGGTGAGACAAATTAAAGTGATCCATAAATTTTTTTCGCTTTACATAATCTTTATTAGGGCAACTTACTGAAGATCATTTGAGATTCTGAAAGTACCAAGAAGCTCTCTTTAGGTTGATTAATACCATTGATTTGTCTTAAATACCTGAAATAATAATAAACTCCTTTGAGGTTTTGGATTGACTTCTTGTATTCACCGCTGACCACTCCCTGTTATTAATGTTCAGTTGATTATTTTCTTGTTCTTTTCACTCTTTCAATGGACTTCACTATTATAAGGGCCAATACAATCAGTTTTTCATCATTTGAAAATTAAAAGGATGGAAGTGAGTGTGTGTTGATGTATAGCGACATGGGAGGTCATGTTATTTCAAATGCTCTAAGAAAAGTCTGTTATTTTCCTGATATATTCTTTTTTTGTGGCTTTACCCATGTTTTGGCACAGCTGTTAACTATTTTTGTGGTTTTCCCAATCAGGTGATTCTTTTGTTTCAGAAAATTCAAGGTGTAGATGTATGCCTTTTCGTAATGTATGTTCAAGAGTTTGGTTCAGAATGCTGTCCACCAAATCAACGTTGTGTTTATATATCGTATCTTGATTCTGTCAAGTACTTCATACCAGAGATATATACTGTTAGTGGAGATGCTCTTCGTACCTTCGTTTACTGTGAAATTTTGGTAAATACCTTTTTTTTTTCATATATTGGATTAAAGAGCTTCTAAAGTTTCTATTTTTTGATAGGATTATTTAAAATTTCTAATTTACACATGTAAATAACAAGATTTGCTTCTTCTTTTTTTTTCTGTATCATTATCAGATGGGATACCTAGAGTATTGCAAGAAACGAGGATTTTCAACCTGCTATATATGGGCCTGCCCACCTTTAAAAGGAGAAGATTATATTTTATATTGCCATCCAGAGACACAGAGAACACCAAAACCTGATAAGCTGCGGCGGTGGTAATTCCATTCTCTCTCTCTCTCTTTCTCTGTGCGTGTGTGTTTGTCTGTCTGTACTGTCTGTGTTTGTGACTCACATTGACATATATATGATTGCATGAGTGCAATTAAGATATATGAAAACTGGTAGCCTTTTGGGTGAGGTGGCTGTTTCCATATGTGGTCATCACACACCAAAGCATTGCCTGAATCGTGAATAGTCCATTACTTATGTTGATCTAGGTAGTTTGTGCTCAGATTCCATGTCTGCAGCTTTTGCCCGTGTGCATGTCTTGACTGGAAGATGTTCCACTTGCAGGTACAAGTCAATGCTAAAAAAAGCAGCCAATGAGAACATTGTGGTGGATACCAGTAATTTATATGATGAATTCTTTATTTCTACTGGACAAAGCCGAACCAAGATAACTGCAGCTCGTTTACCATATTTTGATGGTCACTATTGGTCAACTGCTGCTGAAAATGTGATTAGAAGAAATATTGAGGAAGAAAGTGGAGGAGATTTACAAAGGAAGGTGAAAAAACTAACGACAAAGAGAAATTTAAAAGCCATGGGGCATACCTCCAATCCTTCTGGTGATGCAGTGAAAGATATTCTACTGATGCATAAAGTAAATTTCTGCTTGACATTTTCCTTCTTTATTCATATAATGTTTACAGATGTCACTGATTTTTGTTATTTAGGGCTCTGGTTGATTCTTACTTGTGCTATAGGATGACATACTGTGCTAGGCTTTTAGAATATATCTTTAGAACTTCTTTGGCTAGATAATGGCAACCAAATTTTAACACCAGTGATTACTTAATTTGGCCATTCAAGTGCCCCAAAGGTGTCAAATCCAGGCTCATAAAGTGGCTATGCAGTGGCCAAAAAGTTTGGAACAACTCTGGGTTGGATTAAATAAAGCTTACCAAGGTCTTAGGCATGGCCCGAATGGGTTCCCCCTAATGTAATCTAGAAACCACCTTAGTGGCTTAAAAAATAACCCATGCCCTCGAGAAAAAAATATGAAACTGAAATAAGTTAGTTTGCCGTGTCACAGGTAAAGTTTCTCCAAAAAAAAAAAAAGAAGACTTTTCTCCCTATTATACATTGTGAGCAAATAGAAGGAAAATTTTCCATTAAATACAAGAGGCTTTCTCTCTGCATGGGAGACTGGATCTTCAACAATGTCGAATTAAAGCAAAGACCAATTAAATAGCCAGGATTAGCTGAAACTGCTTATCAAATAAGATTATTTATTTATTTCTATATTTGATGGTTGGACTGCTTGCTGATAGATGATGTATTGTGAGATTCTAAATAGGGATTAGAGTTCCTATAAGCAGAAACTTCCCTCATAATAGACCACATAACTAATGAATTCTTTGCTTTCACAAAAAATTAGAATGTTACCTGTATAAATTAGCATAGGTTTATTTATTTATCTTTTCATGTGTTTGATTTTTCTCCCTCTACAACATGTAAAGGATAACATGCCTCCTTCAAATGACATAGCAAGCTCCACAAGAGCTTAATTAAAATATTGTTTTATGTCCTTTGTTCAAAGGTTACCACCAGGCTAACAGGTCAGGTGGTATCTAAATTGGACTCCAACCTACGTGTCAAAGGTTCAAGTTTCTGTGTTGTCTTGAAAGAAAGAAGGTAACTGAAGACATGATGTCATGCCCATTCTTGTAGTCACTTGGTTATGACTTCTTCCTTGGACCTAATACAGGCAAGGGATCCGGTGGATGCCTAATGGACCCGTTGATTTACTACAGTTAAAAAAAACTTTACCTAATACTGATGGTCCATCTAGCATCTTCAGTTTCATGTATTTGGTATAGCTTAATTTGAAAATTTTGTTCAAGTAAATTTGGACTATGCTAGCATTTGTCAAAAAATTCTAAATCATCAAAGAATGATGGTAAACTGAAAACTCTCCCTTGTCTTGCGTGGTACCCTATGATATGTGAAACTTCAAAATTTGTACTAGTACTTGTGGGCCACAACTTGATAAGATATGGGATATGTATTTGATGCATCTAGAAACACATCATTTTGCATTATATCAAAAGCTATTGCTTTTCTTTTTATTTGATGAGATTTTAACCGTTTGTTATTGCTGTTGTTCTTTTTCCCTTGATAGCTGGGGCAAACCATCTTACCCTTGAAGGAAGACTTTATAATGGTCTACTTGCAATACACTTGCACATGCTGCCGTGAAGTGATACTAACTGGAAGCAGATGGATTTGCAATCAATGCAAAAAACTTCAGCTATGTGAAAGGTAATTACCGTGGTAAAGTCATGTTTTATTCTTCTTCTTTTTTTCCCCTTTTGTTTTTCATCCTTACTAGGGATATACATATTTCACTTGCTATGGTGTATGCCCTTATAATCTGGTTATTGTTAAATACTTAAATGCCTGTTATCAGTTTGTTTTCCCTCCCGCCATCTCTTGTATTTTTTATTTTTATTTTTCCCCAGTAAGTTCATCCTTTCTTTTTTCTTCTCAACTCTTGCATTTATAGTTGAGCCAAATTTCAATGGCTTTGACCCGTTTTTTAATATGACGTGCTTCAGGTAGGTATAGGAAGGGTTGAATATGTAGGTATAGGAAAGGTTGATTATGAAACGTGACTTAGGTCAGCTAAATGAATCCTACTTTTCCATTCCCGCTCTAATGCCATTACCTCAATCGAACTATTTATTGACTTCATGAAGTGTATTACAGTAGTCATCTTATAATACTTTATTTTTTATTCATCTCACATTCTCACCCTTTCATATATGCTTCAGATGCCATGATTTTGAGAAAAATGTCAATGACAATGTGTTACAGTAGTCATCTTATAATATTTTTTTCTTTATTCATCCTTTCATATATGCTGCAGATGCTATGCTGTCAAGCAAAATGTCAATGAGGATGGAACGCACACTTCCCAGAGCGGGAGAAGACACTTGCTCTCTCAGGTGAATCCCGAATGCCAAAATTTCCAATCACCACCAATTGTCTTTATAAGAAGCAGGAATAATTTCTTTAGCACATGCTTTAATTTATAATAACTTTCAGTACCTGTTCCTGTTTAAATTTTCTTCCTTATGTATATTGTTTCTTATACTTTTCAGGTGGCGGTGGATGATGTGTCTGCTGATACTGAGGACAATGACTTGTCTTTCGATAATGATTTCTTTGAGATTAGGCATACATTCTTAAACTTCTGTCAGGAGAACAATTATCAGTTTGATACACTTCGTCATGCCAAGTATTCTTCACTGATGATCCTGTATCATCTCCGAAATCTGATTGCACCAAGTTCTGGGAACTGCAGCATTTGCCATAAGGATATTATGGTAAACCAGGGCTGGCATTGTGAGACATGTCCAGAGTTTGATATTTGTGCTGCATGCTATCAAAAAAAAAATGGTGATTGTCGTGTTCATCATAAGTTAACTAGGCGTTCTGCTGCTGCTAATTATGAGTCAAACAGTAACCAGGCTCAGCCTCAGCAAGTAAAGGTATGGAGAAAATCTCTTATAAGCTTAATTATAATATTTAGATCCCACATGTCCAATATCTGATTCTTTTCACATTCAAACCGAGAGACATGGGTCATTATTTCTAAATTAAATATTAAAGCAATAAAGTGTTTAAGAGGCAAATTGGGTGTTCAACTTTTAGATGCAATTTTATTTGCCAGCGATATTTAACCAATTATAGAGGAATATCTATTCCTTGATCTCAACACTCAACCAATACGGCAAGGACGTAGTCGTCCTTTTGGTTGACCAAGAAATGGAACTAGCTTGGAAACATTTTCAAAACACAATAATTGTTGCAAAATTAAATTCGAAATGCTTGGAATATAAAGTAAAATTATATGGGTTATATAAGTGAAATAATTTAAATAAGGCCTGCTCGTCCATCTAAATGAGAGGAAAGTAGGAAACAAGGGTGGAATTGATTAGTAAATGCAAAAATATAAATAAATCATCAAATAATATAAACAGTACTTTACTGGTGAAAAATGAGCATAAATGATTTTAAAACTAATTTTGGCATGTAATAGTGAATCATTATAATCACATATGACACTACCTTTTTGTTGGCTGTTGAGATAGTGTTGGCATGGGGGAATTTTTTTAACTGTTTCATTATTTCCATCATTCTTTTGTATGTTTCCAATTAGGCAAATTTTAATAAGAAACATGTCAATTTTGGATTTCCACTCGGGTTTCTCTTCATACGTTAGGCTGTTTCTGTAGAAACAAAGTAAAATTTGATCCTTTCTTAGTTTAATGTAATATGTTGTTTATTGATGTTTGCAATTGGCTTGTTAAGAATTTTTATAAGCATTTCTTGGCCAATATTTGCTCACACCCTGCCTGATGAGTATCATTGTGCGTATTTTGAACTTTAATGTAATTTGGTGGTGCAGTTGAGTAAATTAGTGGATGCTCTACCACATGCCATTCAATGCCGTGCAACCCAAAGCAATCCATGTTCCTACCCGATGTGCCTTCAAATCAAAAGATTCTTTATTCATGCACTTCAATGCAGTCTTTCTTTGGATGGTGGGCATTGTAAACTATGCGATTCAACCAGCATGATACTGAAGTCCCACTCAAAAATTTGTAATGATTCAGATTGCATAATATGCAGGTGCGTTACACTGACAGCTCCTTATTTCTTGATTTCAATTTTTAATTTCTAATGGAATTAGTATTAATAATGCCTGCCGAAATCCTAACATGCATTGTGTATTTTGAACATGCAGGGCTGCGAAGAGTAGGTTAGAAAAGGCTTAATTTCAGTCTAGAACTCGGTGAAGGGCTGCTGCTACGGGTTAGGAAGCACCAGAGGTTGCTGGAAACAGTTGATTGTCCGAGTGTATAGTAATAGATGGATCATCAACGACAGCACCCGAGGTTGCTGGAAACAGTTGATTGTCCGAGTGTAAAGTTATAGATGGATCATCAACAACAGCAGCCACTTATACTGATCAATACCATTCAAAGTAGTAGTATTTGAATATACTGACTTGTTACTTTTGATGGTTGTATAGATTACTTCACTGCACTGTGCAGTGAGTTCATTCAAACTGAGTCATTTGTAACTCCAGAATAGTTATCATGTGAATAAAAGGATGCTATTCATGAATAAAAATATCCGCTGATCGATTTTTACCTTCAAGGCATGAAATCTGTGTGTATGTGTGTGTGTGTGTGTTTTTCTTCTGCTCCCTCTACTGATAATTTGATTGTGCCTTAACCAATTAAGCTTTTAGAGAAATTCAATCCCTTGGTTGGGATTGGCGACGCCCATAAGACCTAATGGTTCTGAACTGGTAGCTTTGGTATTGTGGCCTAATGGAACATTTGGTTTGTATACTGCCAGCTTATAGTTTGTTTTTTAACAAGCCTATTATTGGCTGCAGATGTAATATTTTTCAAACAGTTGAGTCTGATTTGATTTTGGGTCTGGAATTGTTTTCAATGCAGGTGAAAGGCACTTGTAATCAATGTATTAATTTCTGAGTGAGTTTGGTTGAATAAAGCTTTTCTTGTCGCACACAGTGAAATGATTGAGTTCAGTGTAAATAGGGAAATTTTATTCTTTTTGACTCTTTTCTAGTTTATTGTATTTTTTCTACATTTATTTATTTATTTATTTATTATTTTAGTTCCATAATTTTTGTTAGTTAAGATTTTATTTGAGTGTTAAAATCTCATGTAAATACGTATTGCTTGTTCTTGATTGAATATTGATTTGATGTTCTAAGCATGATTTATTTCGGTTAGGGTTTTTATGTCTTGGACAGTCTCTAGTGCATAGCTTGGTTATAATATGTTTTTATTTTTCTTCTTTGTTTTTACTTTTGACTTCATCAATTTTAATTTGTTTTTTAAAATTAAAATTGAGATAGAAGTCAGTTCTATCCTTTTTTCATTTCCTTTCATACTTTTAACTTGGTATTCACAATGCAATTCGGAAATAGAATTGTAACTAGTTTTCCTTAGCTTCCACAATTTTAGTTCTCCATGAATCTGAGTCATTTTAGAAAGAAAATTCAGTGCACTGAAAAAATAAAATTCTGCTGCCACAATTAATCAGATTTTAGCATACAGATGATCCTCTTGCAGTTGGCTTTTCAAATTTGCATAGTTATCCAAAAGAGTATTTACCAAAAAAAAAGCACTCATTATTGAATGAGATCCGCTTTCTGTTAAATTTTTGAGTCTAGAAAATGTTTCTTGGTCTCAAACTAATTTTTTTTCTTCAGTAAATTCGTTTTCAATAAACTGGTTTTGTAGAAGAAAATTTGGGCAGAATCATTACTCAAATTTTGAACTTTAGAAAGACATAAACAAGCTAGTTAATGGAGTTTTAGTTTTTAAGTGCAATGAGCTACCAAGCTACATGTATCCTAAATCCTAAATAACTAAAATTAACAGCCTAGTTGCTATTAGGCAGAGGGGCTATTGACGATCCAAATTGGGATTCTCACGCTCCGCAACCCTTTTATATTATGAATTGACCTAATTGCCTTTTTCACTAACCCAACACCCACATTCTTTTATTCAACTTTCATATTTGAATTGTGGCTGCAAGTTGTGGTCTTTCTAGTCCTTTCATTTCCTTTGTAGGACTCATTAATAAACGACAGCTATTTGCATGCCTAAATTGACAATTTTTACATCACAATATGATTTGAACGGTGAATTTCTTTTCTTGATGCGCATTTTTGTACAATTTAAATTAAATTCAGAATTCAAATTTTTTTGGGGCATAAAACTAGAATTCTGAATTTACCTTCTTTCTTTTTTTTTTTTTTTTTTTTTTTTTTTTTGATAAGTAAAGACCGTAAAAACAGCGTTCAAAAGGGTGAACGCAACCCCCAAAAGCTACAAGGCCAAATATGACATCTAAACCCTCAAAGACTCCAAAAAATCTATAAGCTCCTCCAAGAATTTACAATTTCTCCCAAAAACAAAACAGGGTATTAATAATAGAAAACTTCAACGTCCCAATAGGATTCTCCTTTTTCAATTGTTGTTGTTTTTTTTTTTTTTTTTTTTTTTTTTTTTTTTTTTTTTGTAATGTTTGGCTGAAGCTTGTTGACTACAAATTCTTTCAATAAATTAAAGGCATCAACACTACTATGGTTTTTCAAAGAACAATATTTCTTATGTGGATTTTTTTTTATAAAAGAAAATAATAAAAAAAAGAAACTCATGAAAATCTAAACCACAATATAGTAAAGCTTTTATCCTCTCCTCGGAAGGAACACTTTTTCAAGTTTGTACCTCTTCTGTTTGTCCCTCAAATAATTTTTTTATCCCAACAAAGTTGCGTGCAAATAATTGGGAAAGGATTGTGCAGGTTGAGAGATCCTTCCCTTCTGTCTCATAATTAGTGTTTTCTTTGGGGACTCCAAATTCTTAAAGAGACATGGAAATAGTGTCTCCATTTTTTAAATTCTAGAACTAGCTCCCCATTAACTCACATTATTAAATTAGGAAAATTTTCAATTTTTTTAAAAATAATAATTAAGAAACACAACTTTTTTACATAGACGTTCCCAAAATTGGAAAATGGGCACTTTTTGAGGATGGATGGATGGATAAAGTATGACTTAATGAGAAAGCAACCTAACAGTCTCAGCCAAACTAAATATTGCATCATTGTAAAACAAAAATCCAATTGATATTCTTAAAATTCTTTTGATTGTTTAATATTCTCAATTAGTCTAGTAAATGTTAGAGATCAAAAGCATTAACATTGAATTCTAATATATGGTGCTATGTCATTGGAAACACCACTCACATCAAAACTTGTCTAGCCACAATTCTTTTTGGTGGGTAGACCTGTACACGAATTTATTCGGATGGGATTAGGATTGAACTAATCCGAATCGAATTAGGATGTTTCTTTCTTCGATCTGACATGAATGAATTCATATCCAATTTGTTATTAATCAGATATCGGATTCATTAACGATGTATATTTTTAAAAAAATAAAAAATGCTAAAATAGAAAAAAACAATGAGTAGAAAAATAGAGAGAAAATGAATATATATGAAAGAAAAAGGAGAAAAAAATTAGATTTGTTATTCTTTACTAAAGAAAAGCACTTAGAGAGTTGTAAAGATATACATGTGTCCTATAAACAGATTCAATAGTTCATCTTTTCTGCTTGCAAATATTCCGCTGTGAGTAACATCTACTGTGACATCCCATATCGTCCCGAGGGGGTAGAGGAGTTGTCTTCGATATAATCATAAAGTCCTGGTTTTAACCATTTCTCTATGAAAGTACCTACAAACACACAGTAAACATAAATCAGTCTAATAATAGATAAAAGTATCACTTTAGGCTGTAACATATATCTATTTAGGGACTCGAATATGCAAATATTCAGTGCTCATCAATGTTAAACTTAGCACCCACGACACATTGTGTCCTTTATCTTTTCTATATTGCATGTTTTCTTGCATTTTGTTTCTTTACATGCTTTCATAAAAAGAAAAAAATAAAAAATACTCTCTATTGTGCCCTTTTATGTAGTCATGCATACTTCCATGCTTTATCTTAGGCTTAATCTCATGTTTCTCTCTCACTTTATGCCTTATTGCCTTAGAATGCATGATTTGCTTATTCTTTATTCCATTTGACATTTGATGTGGGTTTGTTAGTGTGATTATTCAAGTAGGTTATTGATTCCAAGTTTGGGGGAGACGTCTTTCAAAATGGATCATTGCTGGACTTCATAGACTTTTGCCAACATGGTATACTCTTTCCATCTCTTCCATTGTTCTCATCAAACATTGAGGACAATATACGGTTTAAGTTTGGGGGTAAGATGACTTTGTTGCATTTTACTTAAGTTTGAGACTTAATTGCATGATTGAGATTTGAGATTGATGTTTGCAATGATTTTGATCTTTTGAGGCCATGATACTTAGAATTTAAAAATTGCTTGACTTATGAGTTCAATACTACTTGTATGCCTTTGGGATGTCATTTTGGGGCAAATTTTTCAAAAGATTGATATCATGTTTGCTTTTGTGGTCCATATCATCTTGTTTATGAGATTATTTTGAGATTCACTCTAGAGTTCTATACTTGCACATGCGTACACTAGTATTCATTTGTGAGGTACATGATTAGTTGATCATTGCTTTGGTTATATCCCAATTGAGCTTGTAGGCTTTGAAAGCTCTCATTCTTGACAAAATGACCTTGCATGCTTGACAACAAACCTTTTACCAAGTAGCCGAGATTCTAGCCTCATTAAGCATTGAATTCTTGCACCGAAAAGTATAAAGTGAACGCTTCTCACCAAAGGTGGAAGTAGGAAAATGATTAAAATGAGAGTTGTTTTGATTTGTAGCCTAATTGATTCGAGCTTGTAAGTCCTTAGGGGTGTCTTTACACCTAATAACCTAAAGCCGTCCGGTTTGGGAGTCATTAACCTAACGCTCATTAAATTGATCTTCTAGAAAGCTTAAGAGATCACTACATTGCACCATACTCTTGTCTTTGATCCTAAAAAAAAAAAAAAAAAAAAAAAAAAAAAAAGTGAAAAAAGAAAGAAAAAGAGAGGAAATAAATTGAAATAAAGAGGTTTATTCTTTGTCTTGATGATTTATACTAGATTTGTGTGCTAGCTTGAGACTGGTTGTGCCAATTTCATTGATTTGCTAAGATAGCAACATATTTGATGCCGGTTCACTCAAAAGGATGCTAGAGTTGTTTTGATTTACATGATCATCTTACTTGATATGTGGAGGACCATTGTGATACCCCCGGATTTCCGGATGCGGGTTGGCCAAGCCCACACCCGAATACCCGAGGATATCAAAACAAATGACAATAATCGAACACAGAATATAATTATGATAAATAGGAATAAATAAAATTGCTGAAAGAAAACTAAAACGATAATCCAATGATGAAAACCTCAGAATAAATTTTATATATAAGAACTATTCTGGTATATCCAAACCTCCAATACAAATATAATTCAGGAATCCATACTATGTGGACCCTTAGAAAAACCCAACTGATCAAGTGACTACATTAGAACACTAAAACATAAAGAAAACTTCTAAGTAACTAATCTGGAAGAATGAAGAAGATGATCCCTGCTTAGCACGAACAATCCATAATCCTGTCGAATACCTGAAAAA